GGTAAAGACATAGACTAACACTGTTGATCAAGATCCCTTCTCAAATGTTAAGTGTAGAGAGGAAAAGACAGTTTAAATGTCTGTACACTTTTTACCAACTTTCTGTGCTCACAGTCCTTAATATCCCAAGAAAACCCCAGTGCACCTGTCTCACATAATAGAGGCTCTCACCCAGCAGGTACATTTATAGAAAGGAATCTGTCAGCATACTAATAACAGTCCTGACAAGGGAGGGAGGAAATGTTATCAGTAGCTTAGGAAATACTCTCTCTGGGAAATTAAAACCGTACCATACTGCATGTGGTGTACATCTGTTTAAGTTCTTGTTTCCTCCACTGGCAATAGCTCCTGTCAATCCATGAATTCTGTACTGTAAATGAAATAGAAAATTGCTTCAATATTACACAGCCCCAGATGGATGTTAAAACAATAGCGTGGCGATATTAAACTCAAACTTAGATAATGCTTGCTTTATACTTCTTTGAGCTGAAACGGAAATAGGGTACTCTCCACAAAGATGTAATACTTAAGAGAAAAGTGAAAAAAAGTCATAGCCATATGCCTGATGTTGTGCATGCATTTCATTTTCTTTTGTTCTGAGAGGGGAGAATTTTCTAGAAAAAAGAAAGAATATGGAGTTTTACAATCTATCTTCTACCATAAGTCAATGACCCAGAAATTTCAAGGGAATATGCAGGAGGAAACAGAGATGATGCAGTTGCTAGGAGGTCAGAGGAAAAGGGAACACCACAGAAATTTAAGCATGTTGCCCCTTTGATGGGAGACACAGTATCAGTTACTAGAGCTTCCACTCTGCATTAGAGACCAGTAACTGTCCACCACAGTGAGTCTTCCCTTTCTTTCATTATAGCTGGGCACTTCATTCCACAGCCTCCCAGGCAGCTGGAGGTGGCCACGTGCTGGATTCTTACCAATGGAATAACGTGGGAAGTGATGGATTCCACTTCCTGCTCTGAGGTTGAAGGCATCAGATGTGTACTTCTCTGTATTTTCCTGACCTTCCCACAAGCTGGAAGAAACACGCCTAGGACCAGCATGGATCTTGCAGACGAGGATAGTGCACTATGGAGGGGAAAACAACAAGATGGAAGTAACCTGTGATCATAAATGGCTGCATGGAGCAAAGTTATGTTTGAGTAAGAGAAAAATAAATTTCTATTTATGTCAGTGATTGTGTTTTTGAGCCTCTTTATAATTGTAACTTAGCCTTCATCCTAATACACATTATAGCATTTTGAAATTAAGGTCTTAGAAGAGAACTAAGGAGCTCACAGATGGTACACGTTTTCTCAGTTTAATATAAACCTTCCCAGATTTCTAGAGGTATTCTTTTTTAAAGGCAATAATACAATGACTGTTTCCTAAGAGTTCACACAAAACAGATTCACGAATTAAGAGAAAGAACATTAGAATGCTTTTCAAAAAAATTCTAAATTTATCAAAAGTGGAATGGTCCTTGAAAAATAATCAACAATCAAACCTATGTTAGCCACAAATGTGCGCAGACACCACAGCCATATGTGAAAACATAAGCACTATTATGGGCTGCACTGTGTCCCCGAAAATTCATTTGTTGAAACCCAACTCCCAGTACCTCAGCACATGGCTAAATTTGAAGATGTAGTTTTTCAAGGAGCTAATTACAGTGAAATGAGGTCAGTAGGGTAGGCCCTAATCCAATATGACTGGTGTCCTCATAAGAAGAGATTAGGTAGCAGACACATACAAAGAGAAGACCGTGTTAGGATACAGAAGAAGACAACCACGTGCAAGCAAAGGAGAGAGGCTTCAGAAGAGGTCGAGACTGCCGGCACCTTATCTTGGATTTCCAACCTCAGAATTGTGAGACAATAATTTCTGTTGTTTAAGCCACCCAATCTGGTGGTACTTTGTTATGGCTGCCCTAGAAGGCTAATACAAGTATGTCAGTGTCGATCACTTTTCTTCTGAGTCAGAACCAAGGAGAAATGCTTTGGGTTGCTTCTAAAACAAAACAAAACAAAATGAACGAAAGAAATGAATTCTATATGATTTCCAGTCTTTCAAATCTTTGGGTTTTTCTGATTAACAAACAGAGGACTTGTCATGCTTTGACTATATCTGAACTTTCAAAACAGCTCTATACCCTTCCAAAATAAGTGTAGATCCACGCCTTACACTATATTCAGAAGCGAGCTCCAGACAAAGACCTAAACATAAAAAGTAAAAAGCTAATAAAACAAAATGTAAGTCATCTTTGCAGCCTAGGAATGGATAAAGACTTTTTGAACATGGAGCTAAATCCATAAATTGCAGTGTTAAAATTGGATGGGTTTTCCTTCATCAAAATGAAGAACTGTGGTTCAAAGAGGGTTACCTTAGAAAAAGTTAAATGAGAAGATATGTACAACATCTAAAGCCAAAGGAGATTAATAGCTAGAATATCCTCTCCCTCCAAAAAAACAAAAACAAAACAAAAAAACTGCTACAAATCAACAAGAAAATAATACAATCCTAAAAGAAAAATGGGTGAAAGATAATAGTAGGTAAATCTTAGGGAAAGGTCAGATGTCTAATGAGTATAATGAAGAAAAACTCAACACTATTAGCTACAAAAATACTTAAAGTTTAGCAATCAATGAGATTCCATGTTGTCCATTAGAATTGCAAAAAATAGAACACTAGATAATATCAAGTATTGGAGAGGACATGGGAATGACAGAAACTATTAGGTACTATTGGAGAGAATATAAACTTGTCTAGTAGTTCTGGAAAGCAATCTAACAGTACTGGGGAAATTAAGGATGAGGATGTTCTGTGATCCAGCAATCTACTTCTGGTATATATCTCAGATACAGTCACATCCAGATCCTTTTTAGAACATGTACTTGGATATTCCTGGCTGTATTATTTGTGATGTGGAAGTTAGAAACAATGCCCATCCTTGGGGGAAAGGATAAGTAAAATGAGGTGGAGACATACTATGAAAATATTAAGTATGCAATTATCTAAAACAACCAAGTGTACATAGAGCAACACAAATAGATATAAAACACAAGTTATTTATAGCACTACTCCACTTACTAAAAATGCATACCCGGGCTTCCCTGGTGGCGCAGTGGTTGACAGTCCGCCTGCCGCTGCAGGGGACGCGGGTTCGTGCCCCGGTCCGGGAGGATCCCGCATGCCGCCGAGCGGCTGGGCCCGTGAGCCGTGGCCGCTGGGCCTGCGCATCCGGAGCCTGTGCTCCGCGGCGGGAGAGGCCACAGCAGTGTGAGGCCCGCGTACCGCAAAAAACATCAAGGAAAACATATTTCATCTATGGACATCATTTTTCTTCGGTACAGAGTGACTTTTTCACTCCTGACCAAAAAAAAAAAAAAGAAGAAGAAAGAAAAGCATACCTACACAACCCATGACATATTTTCCAAAGATTATGTAAATTATACATATTGTGGTGTTTGCCTCCTGGAGGAGGGTGGGAAATGGGAATTAAGGGAAACATTGAGATAGAATATGGTCTTCCACGTATCTCAGTGGTTCACAACCAGAGTTAATTTTGTCCCTCTGTCCTCCCAGGGATATTTGGTATTTGGCAATGTATGGAAACATTTTTAGTTGTCACCACTTAGGGGGGCAAGGTGCTACTGGCATCTAGTGGGCAGGAGCCAGGGATGCTGATAAACACACACAGGACAGCTTCCACAACAAAGAAGCATCCCTTCCAGTATCACTCTGATTTTAACTGCTCAAAGATTGTGAATAGGATAAACTGATAGTAAGCCTTTACTAATTAAAGAAAAATAATTAAAAATGCCTCTCACTCCTTATCCTTTTCTCTCTTATGAGTTTCTCCTCCACATACCCATCTATTAAAATAGGAAGGGTGTCCAACTTAAGGTGCACTGAGGGCTTCCACTAAACCTTCATGAATTTGGTGAAGGAGCTAAAAAGTGTCCTAGGAGGGCCAGCAGTTCAAAAGAACAAATTAAGCCAGAGCAGGGTCAGAAGGAGACTTTGGGATGGCAGCCACAGAGGGAAAAGCTTGGGCCAAGGTGGGGGTGGGGTAGGGATTGAGCTTCAACAAGAGGTTTGGGGCTAGGGTCCTTCCTTGAAACAAGAGAGAAGGAAAGAAAAGAGAACGTGACTCTTTCTGACCATTTAACAGAACTTCAAAATTCTCTGAGCAACAGAATGGGCCTAATGTGTACCAGGTGGGATTTAAATTTAAATGAAAGCAAAATTTTTCAAATACTAGAGACTGTTAAACATTGAAATTGATTGCTTTGGTTATCCTGCTCTATTGGACATTGTTATCTTTTTAAAGGGCTAGAGTATACAGTATTAACAGTCTAATTTAGACTAAGGAGGAGCTTAAAGTTCGTAAGAGCTGTGATTTGTGTTTTCATGTTATTTTCCTTAAAGTTTTGGCAATTGCTATTTGATACCTTGCCCTTGGCCACTCACATCCACCGAGAGCCTTTGAGGTTAAATTATCATGAATTATCTTCAAAGATTTTTGTCACTGTGGTTGCTGATGGTAGTGGTGGTGTTTTGTTTCGTTTGTTTGTTTTTTAAGAAATGAAAGAAAAAGTTTGACAAGTCTCTGGAGAAACAGAATCCTCCCCAATTTTATTCAGTTCTAGCGGTGGGACTATGAATATATTCAGATCTCAAAGCAGTCTTTTATTCTCCTCCAGATTAAAAAAAAAAAATTGAACTGGATTCTTATGAATCATCTGGACTAATATTAGTTTACTTAACTGCTTTTAAAAAAATTTAAAAGAGAAGAAAGGTAGGAAATATTGGGTACAGCTGCACATTATTCTAAGATATGTCCCCACTCCAGCCCTCCAAGAATTACATCACCCTGTATCATCCTTTGGAAACCACACTTCTGTCTCTTTAACAAGTGAAAATGAGAAGGGGGCGGGCCTCCGGAGTGGTGAAGGCTCTGATTGGTCCAGCTGGCAGGAAGTGGACCGTGAAAGCGTCCCTTCTGTTTTTGTCCGGAGGTTGCAGGGTGAGTGGCCCGAGACCGTGCAGGGCTTAGGGACCCGGGACTGGTAGTTACTTTGAATCTCGAGAGTGCGAACGTGGGGTGCGAAACGGGTCCCATTCATCGCTGTGGGTTCGGGGCCCTGGCAGCCTTCTTGCGGAGGTGCCACGCCCTAGCAGGTGGGCCCGGGGTCCGCTCGGACCGCCAGGACCAAGCAGTGGTCCGGGAACTGGAAGGAAGGTGTTCCCGGGGCGCTGACCGCCGCCTCTGCAACTCGGCCGAGGCCCGTATCTCAACGTAGCTTTTCTTTTTCCCCTGTTCTGCAGGCTTGTTTCTGGCATCATGGCGCAAAGGGCCTTCCCGAATCCTTATGCCGATTATAACAAATCCCTGGCCGAAGGCTACTTTGATTCTGCTGGGAGGGTGAGTTTGGGAAATATCTGCCTGCATCCCTACCTCCAGCCCCGAGTGTTTGGAAAGTTCAGTTTTGCCTGAAAGAAAGGGATGAGCATCCTTTTTTAAAAGATATAATAGAGTTTCACTATAAACATACAAAATATATTTTAAATATATAAAGTATACATGAAAATATACAATTTGAGCTCTAACATGTTGAACTTCTGTGAGGAGTCATTGTTAATATTATCAACAATAATTAATAATTGAAACAGTCTCAAATATTGATATCTAAATTATAAAAATTCGAGGCTCTGCAATTTTCTGTGTAATCTTGCATTTTTTGATCACTTTTGGTTTGTTTTTTAAAGAGAGGTGAGAAATCCTGATGGTATTTCATGGGTGCCGTGTTACTGTTTTATGATTGAACAGGAGTACGGACAGGGTAAGGATGAGAGTAAACCAGAATGTGATGAAGACATCTTTAAACTGAAAGTGCTAAGAGATTTGGGACATACATAGTCCTGAAATCTTTGTATCATTTCCAGTCTTCCCAGGACATCCCCACAACTGGAAAATAAATACATACATAAAACTGGTCAATGTAACTGGTGAGCACCTCACAAGTCAGTGTAAGAAAGAGAACCTGGATGTGAGATACCAGAAGCCTGTGTTTTCTCATGCCTCTGCATATAGTTGTTAAGAGGGAATACAGTTCTTTTTAAGAATACCTAGTTGAGAAATCCTAAGAGTGAGTTAGGTTGGAAGAGTGATATCTTTAAATGTGCACACATTTTTTGAAAAATTTTACCAGTTTATTTCTTGTAAGCTTATCAGCCATATGAAAAGCATTTTGCATGTGATGTAAGGGCCTTAGAGATTTCATATCTGCCAAGTGAACTTTCAGTGATTCTGTTGGTTCTTTGCTTAAAACACTTGTCATTTATAAATTAACTTGGGTGAGTAATGCAGGTAGGAGGAATGAAAGAGATGGAGAAGAGCTGTAAGATAGAAGGCTGCCGAAGTGTGTATGGAGCTAGAATCAATCTGATTCTTTTAAGACCAGAACTGAACTCCCTAAACAAAGCCTGTAATCATTACCTTGAAGTCAGATGGCTTCCTTTTGCCTATTTGGACTTGCATTCTGCCCAGCTCTGCAGATCCTGAAGCTGAAGCATTTGTCTTGTCTTGTTGGAGGAAGACCTGCTGCTTCATGCTTACTTGGCAAAGAGAACACTTGAGGATGGATCCTAATGACAGCAGCCTTCAATAAAATGTATCTCACTATTTAGGCTGTTTATAAAGTAAATGCTTTTTATAAATTTAACTGTTTCTAAGGGAGAAAAAAAAAATGTTCATAAATTTGAATTCTGGCCCCAAAATAATAGTGTAATTTATTGCCTAACACATGGTTTTTGGACCCATCCCAGAAAGAAATTAACCTACCAGTTTTAAAATTGTTTAATGTTAAACATCAGGGATTGGACCCTGAAGATCTGTCCTCCTTAATTTGTTAATGCAAAGATTTCAATAAGGAACTGCTCTATTTCCTGGCATCTATCAGAAAAAAGCGTTTTTATACACTCTTCAAATTATTCCTAGGTTTGAATAATTTTGTGGTCTGCTACAAGCAATCAGTATTCTTAGGCAGCTCACTTTTCTTAAATGCAATTATGTGCCAAATAGAAAGTGACTTCCCTTCTTAAGGCTGAGGCATTCTCATTATTCTTGGTTGCTTACAGTAAGGCCAGGCAAGATGATAAATCATCCATGATCTGTGAACAGAATATGACATGTTCTTATGTTGATGCATTCTTCTATCTAGTTGAGATTTATAGACCTTTAATATCAATACTGAAGTATATTTTACCTTACAAAATGGATTTTTAAGGCTTGTTGAAATCTTAACCCCTTGGCAGACATTGTTAAATAAAGGGAGTGTGTCCATCAAACACTGGTTTCTTCTTCAGATAGTGAAATAATGGATCATAGTGGTGCTTAGAATAAATAACCCAGATATGGTTAATCATCTGATTTGCCTTATCAGAGATACTCTTCAGAGTATCAGTAAACCTTAATGTCTTTTATTATTATTAATAATTCTGATACCTTTTCTACTTTTTTCAGTTTTTAAATGCCCTTTTTAAAAAAATGAGGTTATGATGCTAACAGGTAGTAAGTTAGGTTTGTTTTTACAGTCCTTGTGTGATGAAATATCTGTATCCTTGTAATGTTCCCCAACATTGTTTCACAGTTTTACTGCTTTGTGAAATCCAAGTCTGAGAATCACAGCAGATTCCTAAACATACTGAAGGATACATTAAAATGCTCTTTTAAGACACTTCATGATTCAGTGTATACAGAACTTTCAAAATATTTTTCAGTTACTTTTAGAACAAATAACATAATTATTCGGTATGCCTCACCGTTTGTGCCACATCTGTGGGCCTTTATATGGATGTCACTAACCCCACACCCCAGCCTCAGTGTGCTTTCAATCTATATCCAAATTATTACATTTCATAGACCATTGGACTGCTTAAAATAGTAAAAATATCAACATTTACATCCCTGAATGCAAAAGACATGAGAGACACAATCTCATTTGATCCTCAATGCACCTTTTGAAATTGGTGGGACAGGTATTATTATCCTGACTTTATAGAGGCAACTGAAGCATAAAGGAGTTATGGGTTGAGCATGGTCACTCAGCTAATAGTGGATAAGGATGTAGCCGGGCTCATTCATTGAGCAGCATTTATGAGGCCCCAAGCCTTCTGGGCACTGTGCTGGGCATGGGTTTTTGATACTTGGTCTGATGTTCTTTCCACTCTCCTGAAGCCTCCTGATACCTGTGAGTTTTCTTTGCTTTTCTTCTGCTACTTCTACAATTTTTTTAAATGTTTATACATTTTTAATAAATGGACTTTTTATAAATGTTTATCTTCATTTTATCTTCATTTTTCAAATAACAGAAACAATTAGAATGTTTCTTTAGGGGATTAACCTTGCTGCTGCTTGAATACTAAAGCTCCAGTGGCTTGAAAACAGCAAACATTTTCTGATTTGTGCTTAGTTTAATAAAATGACTTATTATAATAAAAAATATTGGTTTAAATAATAGATGATTCTTAGTAGGTGGAAATTACTATGATCCAGTTTATCATTGGCAGCTTCTTTAGTATTTAACTAAAATTTTTATGTAAAACATTTAAGTTACATCAAAAATATTTCCCAACTTGAGTAAGAAAACACAGTAGTACTTTTAAGTTTTGTTCATTTGTTTTTGTTTAAGAATAAAGTAATTGTCCAGTTCTCTTAGGCAAAAAAAAATGTAGCTTAAGTGGAAATGAAGTACCCTCCTATTTTTAATAGCCTATATAGTCCAGGACACCCAGTGCCCCATATTTTTTGATATTTGTTTTCCCTTTAATACCTACAGCTGACTACTGAGTTCTCACAACGCCTGAACAATAAGATTCGAGAGCTTCTTCAGCAAATGGAGAGAGGCCTAAAGTCAGCAGACCCTCGGGACAGCACTGTTTACACTGGCTGGGCAGGTATGAAGTGCTGACTGTGAACTGGCATAAGCGTGGTAGAGGAGAGCTCTCTGGCTGAATGCTGCACCCTTAAATGCTTCCTGCATCTGCACAGGAGTAATTGCTTCTGGGGAGAATGCTGTGCTCTCAGCCTAACCTGGGCATCTTGTGGATCTTTAACAGTGCTCAGAATTTAGGGCAGGGTAAGCATATTCCTGTAATTCACGCCTGACACAAATTTGGATGGCTGCCATACTTGGGAGAAAAATTGATGTTCAGCATTACATAGTTAATTCACAGATGGAATTTCAGTGGGAAGAGTTGGGAATATTCCCAAAATGCAGTGCATGAAACAGAGGAATTTGCCCATGGAAAATAAAACATGTCCAGAATTGTCTTTTTTTTTTTTTTAACGTTACCACATAACAGGGATCCATATGGGAACTCAGGGTAGAGTATAGATTCCGTGAACTAATCCTCCAGTATAGTTGTTGCTGGCTGGTGTACATTCACTGTTTTACTGGTCATTGAGAGGTTGAGAAAGTTTGGGAGGAAATAGTACATAAATGTCAAAAAAGTGAGAGCAAGAGAAACCAAAGAAGGAAAGTGAATAACTGCAGCTAGCTTACTAATACAGAGATAGACAGCTTTCTAATCTTGAAGAAAGCACAATTTAGAGACAGTGTTTCCTAGTTACTCTGAAAAGCAGACAAGGAGGAATAGGTTTTCAGCTTAAGGAGTTTGGATTTGATTTTAAGGCAACGATGCTTATCATAAACATGCAGGTTCCTGGGCTTCACAGCAAAATTCTGCTTTGGTAGTTTGAACAGGCCAGGAATCTGCAGTCTGCAAGCCTCAGTGGTCTTGATGTAGATGGTCATCTTTAGAGCATACTTTGAGAGCTTTTCTGAGAGGAATTTACTAATAGCAATCCTCTCAGTTATGACAAGTGATTTCTTTCTTACGAGGATGGGGAAAGCAGATAAAATCAGTAAAATGATAATCTCTCAGGGACGTTTACGGTCAGTATTTTATAAAATAAAAGGAATAGACTAAATAGTGTTGGACCCTCCCTTTTATAGTTTAGTTTTATGATTTTTGTAGATTTTAGAAGCTTAACACAGAAACGTTAAGGTGAGAATAAAATGAAAGTATTTTGCTTCAAGAGACATTATAGCAACAGCTGTCATTTATTGAGTAGCTGCTGTTTCCAATTGCTCAGTAATTGGTAGATGAATCTCATTAATGAGCATTACTGTTCTTTATTTTAAATTATGAGGATTTGAACAAAACAGGACAACTGAGACAGATGGCTAGATTTAATTCCATAACTGATTGTTAAAAGAATGACTTGGGCTTCCCTGGTGGCGCAGTGGTTGAGAGTCCACCTGCCGATGCAGGGGACACGGGTTCGTGCCCCGGTTCGGGAAGATCCCACATGCCGCAGAGCGGCTGGGCCCGTGAGCCATGGCAGCTGAGCCTGCGCGTCTGGAGCCTGTGCTCCGCAACGGGAAAGGCTACAAGAGTGAGAGGCCCGCGTACCGCAAAAAAAAAAAAGAAAAAAAAAAAACAAAGAATGACTTAAATCTCTAACTCACCCGCTTCTGGTGAGCTTATATTATTTATTATATATTATAAGGTACCTTGCTTTAGGAGAAAAAGAAGTGGTGATTGATTTCAAGTTTGAATTGATAGTTTGGCAGTGTAAGGAAAAGCTCCTCTATTGGCAGGGCTAGTTGAGAAACAAAGTTAAAATTTACTTGGAAATAGAAAGAAAAAATGTTACTCCAAAGTAAAATGCAAGTTTGTTTAAATTTTTTTGGCACTATGGAGTTTTTGGCATCATTTTCTTTGAATTGCCCATGTCCTTCAACTTTTTATGCTTCAGTATCTATGATACTCATTGCTGTCTCCTGAAAGCAGCTCATAGGGGCAATTGGCACACTAAGCAGTTTAGGATGTCTTCAGTTGCTGGTTAGTTCATGATGTAGCATAAAATTTTCTAGATAAATTTGCTAATGGCTTTCAAGGCAAGGTTCCTAATGTCTCCCCATCAAGCACTGTTAAAAAGCCATTGTTCCCACGTAAAATGGAGTCTCCTCCAGTGTTTTGATAAGTAAAATGCTTTCCTGTGCAGTGTTCCATCTGAATAGCATAAAACTATGAGTTGCATGAGAAATTAAAGCTGATTCAACTGCAGAAAATCATAATACCTTTTCCTCCCATTATATCTTATCAAGAATCATCTATTCATAACTGCTATTACCAAAAATACATTCACAGACATCTTAACACAATAAAAATACTTGGTGTTATGTCTCAGAGCAGTGTTTACATAATTATGTGTGGCTTTGTATGTTACTTTTTGTGCCTCATTATCTTTCTTTTTTTAAAATTAATTATTTATTTATTTTTGGCTGTGTTGGGTCTTCGTTGCTGCGCCTGGGCTTTCTCTGGTTGTGGCGAGCAGGGGCTACTCTTTGTTGTAGTGTGTAGGCTTCTCATTGCAGTGGCTTTTCTTGTTGCGGAGCACGGGCTTTAGGCCCACAGGCTTCAGCAGTTGTGGCACACAGGCTCAGTAGTTGTGGCACACGGGCTTAGTTGCTCCGTGGCATGTGGGATCTTCCCAGACTAGGGCTCGAACCCATGTCCCCTGCATTGGCAGGTGGATCCTTAACCTCTGCACCACCAGGGAAGTCCCCTCATTATCTTTCAAAAAGTAATACTTTTGAGGAAAAGGGGATTATATATTTTTAACTTTGTTCACCAAATTTAGGGTCATATTTCTATAAATATTAACTTATTATTTGCTCTTGTTATTAACTTGTCCAAAATAATATTACTTTGGGAAATACTAATTGTAGAAATCCTTTAAAACTTTATTTTCTTCTTCAGCATTCATGTTTATTAAGCATTTGTTTTCAGTATGAAGTGAAACCTTTGCATACAACACAGTTTATTTGAGAAACTACATGATTGTTAAAACTAGAACCTTAAATTACCATCTTATTTTGTTAAGTTTCATTCCCCAATGGAAGTATGGTCTGATATTTGTGCTGATTCAGATAGGCTTGGTTTTGGAATAGGATTGGGTTCAGTTGCATATACCCAAAATAATCAAAATTGCAGTGACTTAAATAAGATAGAAGTTTTTGTTTTGTTTTTTTTTTTCTCTAAGGTAAAAGAAAGCCAGAGGGAGGGGGTCCAGGGCTGCTATGATGGCCTCAGGATGTCGAAAGGAACCCAGGCTCCTTTCTTTCTGCTACATCATCCCTCAGCCACTAGCTTCTAACCCTCGGCCAAATAGCGACTATATACAGCCATTACATCAGCCTTTCAAGGCTGCAGGGAGTAAAAAGAGGCAAAGACGAATGCATTTCTTCCCTTTAAAAAGACTTCCTGGAAGTCCCACTCAGCATTTCAATTCTACTTTCTTTGCTTGGGCTGGAGCATAGTCACATATTCATACCCTTTAGCAAGAAAGGATGGTGAATGTAGTCTGTTACCTGAGGTTCTGTTACTAAAGGAAAGAGGAGCATGGATTTGGGGGTAAGACCTAGCAATCTCTGCTATAAGTCCTGTATAACCAAAAAAATGATCCTTTTTTGTTCCTCTGTTTGCACAGAGTATTTAGTCAGCAACACACAATTTTTTCGTCTGCCAAAGGATCTCTAGCTTCTGCCCACTTCGAGGAAATTTTTATAAGGATAAATTTATCAATGTCTATAAATATTTGAAATTTGCTAAGCAGTATTATACCTGCTCTATATTTCTAGGGAAATTGATATGTGATTTCGACTGAAAATTTCTTATTCATTTTTAAGTTCGTTTGCTTACTGCAGTAAGTAATAGTCTTTTCATAAAGCCTGCCATAGAAAGGAAGTGTTATAGAAATGCCAAATCATAAATAATTTTTGAAGAGCCAAGTGTAATTTCAATTTAGAAAGGGGCTACAGGTTCTAAATTTGATACTGGAAAACATTATTGTTTTCTCAGCTTGATTAAACAGCTCTCTGCCTCCCCTTTCTGCTTCCTCTCAAGTCTTGTTTGCTCTTTCAGGGATATAAAGTCCTTAGTTTCTTTTTTGTTTTTAGTTTTTTCTGAGATATACATTTTAAGTAATAACTAGAATTATGACTTATAAAATTATACCAGAACATATAAGACTTTTAGAAATTTCATATAATATCTGAAACATTTAACATATTTCCATACAAATAACCCAAAGAAAGTTTAGTGTTAGTTGTTTTTTTTGTTTGCTTTTTTATACTGCAGGTTCTTATTAGTCATCAATTTTATACACATCATTGTATACATGTCAATCCCAATCGCCCAATTCAGCACACCCATCCCCACCCCACCGCGGTTTTCCCCCCCTTGGTGTCCATACATTTGTTGTCTACATCTGTGTCTCAACTTCTGCCCTACAAACCAGTTCATCTGTACCATTTTTCTAGGTTCCACATACATGCGTTAATATACGTTATTTGTTTTTCCCCTTCTGACTTACTTCATTCTGTATGACAGTCTCTAGGTCCATCCACGACTCAACAAATGACTCAGTTTCGTTCCTTTTTATGGCTGAGTAATATTCCATTGTATATATGTACAACAACTTCTTTATCCATTTGTCTGTCGATGGGCATTTAGGTTGCTTCCATGACCTGGCTATTGTAAATAGTGCTACAGTGAACATTGGGGTGCATGTGTCTTTTTGAATTATGGTTTTCTCTGGGTATATGCCCAGTAGTGGGATTGCTGGATCATATGGTAGTTCTATTTTTGGTTTTTTAACGAACCTCCATACTGTTCTCCATAGTGGCTGTATCAATTTACATTCCCACCAACAGGGCAAGAAGGTTCCCTTTTCTCCACACCCACTCCAGCATTTGTTGTTTGTAGATTTTCTGATGATGCCTATTCTAACTGGAGTGAGGTGATACCTCACTGTAGTTTTGATTTGCATTTCTCTCATAATTAGTGAAGTTGAGCAGCTTTTCATGTGCTTCTTGGCCATCTGT